GTCGGTGTAGTTGCTAGTGGTGGTGACTGCTCCGGTAGCAAGCTGGCCACTGGCAGGCTGTCCTCAGATGCCGCTTCTTTGCATGTCCCAATTTTCTTCGTTGGGGTTGTTGATGGGGAGTGTTGTGGTAGCAACCTGGCCAGTGGTTCATCATCCGATGACGAGTCACAATCATCCATTTCTGTCATTAAAAAGATATATATGTTAACAAGCATCGTCAGTTCTTCATCACCATGTACTTTACAAACTTTGTAAATCTAATGCCCTACTAGATTGCATATCAGACTGTAAAGCCTTCCATCAGATATATCCTAGAAATTAAAAAATAGACTACAAAATGGAACTTTCAGAGAAAGCATTTCTTTCAAATTCAACACACCAAAAGAAAGTAACATATGAGCTGTAAAGCATTGTCTCACCTGAATTTCAAACACTGCTCCCTTCCATCAAGTCAGTACAAGAAGTCTGAACGTCTCTGGCCACACCTAAAATTGAAAATACCATTAGGGTAAGGAAAAAACATCTTTTGGGCCATGCATTCATTCATAATAAAAAAGATGTGGCTGTAAATGAAATGCTAAATCACTATTTAGATCAAAGACTGCATCCAAAATTGTTACTAAAATGTGTGCATTTAGGGGATGGCTTATATTTAATTATCCATTTCTAAATTTAAAAAATTTGACATTTCAGAACAAACTATCAAAGCTAAGTGGTCTTGCTGAAAGGCCCCTGGCTGAATATGGCAAGCAATGAGGTTTAAATATCTTTGAGCAAGTAATTCTAAAAAAAATGCTGGTAAAATTACTTTTAGTAAGTTTCACCATGCTGATTAGCTCCTTACTTGTTTAAATGAAAGTAAAATAACAACGTACAACACCCCACAAAATCTATCCTAGAAATAGAGCACTGGAAATAGAGTGCAAAATGGAATGTTTTCAAACAACGCAGCCAACCTTGAGGCGTTGCCAAAACACCCCCCCCCCGCCCATGCGAAATTACTACAAACTTTCCAGGTCGCAACACTGATGATTAGCGAAGTTGCGGAGTAAAAACATATCGCCACCAAATCTATGTATATCAGAGTACAAGTTGATAAAATATTGGGGTACAGGAGGGACGTTATGTCTACAAAAAAAACGCCATGAACTTTGAGCAAAATTTACGAGATCGTAAACAACATGGCAGCCATCTTGTCAAAAAAATAACACCCAAGTTTAGCCTACCGCCACCACCTACTTTGATACATATTATCCAAAATTTTGTACCGACGGTAATCTATGGTCAACATAATATGGCTACGAGTTGATACAAACGTGTAAATTTTCAATTTAAAGTAAAACCAAGGCGATGAAAGCCGTACATATGTAACTTGCATAAATTAGCACAAATTTTCTACAGTTTTCAAATCGCCATCGCCTACCACTAAATGTTATTCACATATATATTTACCTTGTTCCAAAGGCTACATACACCAAAGATAGCACACTGAGATTTCTATAGCACTCAGATATCGATAACATATGAAAAACTTACCTCAAAAATCGACGACTGTCATGCAAATATGGCGACTCTCGCCGACCAAATCTGGCAGCGTCCGCCCGCGCCACAAACTCTCGTCCCCAGGACAGTTCACTCTGCTACCCAGCATGCTTTGCGCAAAATGCGTTCTCGGCCCCAGGACACAAATACATGCTAATGCTTCCGCACTGTGTTGCTCTGGGGACCCCGCCGCGCGCCCAGATGTGGATTTAATTATAGCGCGCTAGCGGACGCTGCGGAGGAGCGTGCAGGTACTCTAAAGGAACATATGCGGAGTCACACTGGAGAGAAACCATACAGGTGCGAGGAATGCGGCAAACAGTTCAGCCAGTCGAGTAGTCTGTGGAGTCACATGCGGACTCACACTGGCGAGAAGCCCTACCTGTGTGAGGAGTGCGGTAAACAGTTCAGTCGGCTAGGTAATCTAAAAGTGCACATGACGACCCACACTGGTGAAAAACCGTACATATGTGAAGTATGTGGCAATCATTTTAGTCATCTCGGTTCTCTGACAAGTCACATGTGGACTCACACTGATGAGAAACCATACCGGTGTGAGGAATGCGGTAAACAGTTCAGTCAGCTGAGTCATCTGAAAACTCACATGCGGACTCACACCGGTGAGAAACCCTACCGCTGTGAAGAGTGTGGCAAACAGTTCAGTCGGCTAGATAATATGAAAGAACACACAAAGACCCATAGAGGTGAGAAGCCATACACATGTGAGGAGTGTGGAAAACATTTCAGCCACCTCCGTAGCGTGAAACAACACATGAAGACTCACACTGGTGAGAAACCGTACAGATGTGAGGAGTGCGGCAAACAGTTTAGTCAGCTGGGCAATCTGGTAAACCACGTGCGGACTCACACTGGTGAGAAACCCTACAACTGTGAACTGTGCAATAGAAGCTTCACTTATCCAAGTAGTCTAAAGAGACATGCATGTGTGAAGACTTGTACCAGCCAACAACCATCCTTACCAGTGTGACATTGAAAGTTACCAGAAATTGTTTTCTCTCTTTAAGAAGCACAGAACACATGGGAAATTTTCTTCTTTTTCTACGATGTACAAGACGTAATTCAAAGGCATGTGCATCATGAAATATGCTGTAACCATGTATGTACATGCATAATATGTACTTAGCATTAAATTTACATAACATAGCAAGATTGCAAGCCGTGGAAATATTTCTTTTGTTAAGGTTACCCGTATCAAACATGTTAAAGTTTTGATATTTTTGGTTGTATCAGTCAATTCGTACACAGTAGTTCTTGAAGTTATTGTATTTCTCATTTTACTTAGCTGTAGAATTGCTGATTTACTAGCAGTACGATACAGTTGGATACAGTTGAAAAAAAATTGTGCAGTAATAAGTTTGCTTACCTAAACTGACTCACTTTGTTGTTATACGTTTAATATCAACACCGCCTTCTGCTAAACCTGTTGTTTGTTCCTTGTATTGTTGTATTGCTAATAAACTACGAACATAAATAGTGTTTTGTTGTATAACTTTTGAATAAGATTTTGTTAGGGGAGTTGGGTGGAATAGCTTGACCGACGGGGACATGCACCAAGTTGACTGGACCGAGTTTGTAGTTTGTAATGGTTCGAGTCGTCCGATAATCCATACGTACGTCTGTTGCTAGTGGGCTGTTGACAGCGGAAGGTCTTGCAGGGAAAACCTAACTACGACTTGCTGCCTATATCATGTTATAATTAGGGCAGGGTGGGGAATAATCGTCCAACCACAATTAAGCTTATAACATAAGATTGTAACATACCAACATATCGACATATTGTCTGTCTAACAATGCGTTAGACAGACAATATGTCGAGAATGTACAATCCCACCATCAACACAATAAGCGGCCTTCGTGTCGACCTTTCCTTGCCCCTAGACAAGACAACACCAGCTCCTGTACCCAAACAAGAAGAACTGATTCATAAGCATTGACGTTGTCTTTATTAATAGCCTTGTCTTATTCCTTGTTGTCTAAGGTTTGTATGAGTTACCAAAGATGCAGGTTTCCTCTCTTCAAGAAGTACAGAACATGTGGGAGATTCTAAGGATGTTCTTCACCTCCCTGCTAAAATAATAAGTCATACCCTTTCCCCCGGCAATATTAGACTAAAAGTTAAGAAAACAGCAAAGCTTCAATTTTCTAGCATGTCTATTTATTCAACCCTGGCAATCATTTTAATAATAATAAGAAATGAAAGCATTTGCTTTCACCACAAAGTTATTTGCTGCGCATTTCTTTTAAATAGCTTTCAATAGTAAAAATAATACGGTAGTTAAGTCACATTATTATTTTAACATCCAATTTTTAGAAACAAAACAAATGTACAAAGCGATTATATTACCTACGACACCGAAGACTAGAGACGCACTCAATACATAGAACACGCCCAACATTCCTACTATACCGTTCTACCGTCTTTCATCTACATGTTACAAATTTTCAGGCATTAATCAACAAATTTTACCACCAAAATAGATTCAGACACTAATAGATTTTTGTGGCATTTTTTTAAAACACATATTTTTGTAACTATGTTTTACAATGACTTTCATTATGATACGATATATAGTATAAAGTCTGACTTAAAGTAGAATCCATGTGAGCAATTTTAAGAAAATGTGTCAGTATTCTGACGAACATAACAATAAAATCGTTCGCAGGGTAACTATAGGAATGAAATATTTGAAATTCAGATCTCGACGTTTCAGTGAGCACAACCTAACTTATTATAAAATTACTGGTATAATAGATAACTGTCATAAGTCGAACCTAACAGTGCATCATAATTAACATTTCAGGCATTCATAGCATACTAATTAACGGCTTGACCAACGCAACGACTGCGGAAGTAACTGTGCCATCGCGGGACAAAAATCAAGGATCTATGACCTGATGAAGACCTTAAATTATTTGAAAATACTGTGTAAAAAAAGTCAGCAAGACAACAGTTAAGGGACTGTCAGGGCTATAATATTATGTTAATACATAGAGAATTATAGGAATTAGAATACGCTAAAGATATTTGCTTGGAGAGCAAGGAGGGTTACGATAAATGCAGTTTTAACCCATGAACCTGCAGATAAAGGAACGTTCATCGTCACAGTTGCCAAAGCGCCAACGGTACTTATCGCTCCTACTCATGTAAACACAATCTTTATCCTCGCTGTTCTGTCCCCAAGCACGTTTGGCCCAGAACTTGTTGCGCTTGCTCTTCTTTATCTTGTAGGGGTCACCATTGCTCCAGGTCAACGTCCCTTCGGTCACCCTGTCACTCAGTCCGATCCACACGTCAGAGCCAGTTCGACTAGCCGCGCGCTGTGGAAAATTTTAAAACATAACTGTCAAGAGAATATGGTCATAATTTTCTTTAATAATTCCTAGGCACAGGAGTGTTGTTTTAAGTGGCTGACTTGTGGGTTTGTGTATCAATATTTTTTTTTATTCTAACATCTAATCACAAGACGAGGTGACGGCACACTAAAGTTTTTTTTTCAACTTACATTAATGCCACCACCAAACACAGGGGACAATACAATACTCATTTTCACCCGACTGAAGTGAGGAAAGTCGTGTAATTAATAAAGTGCCATTCCAAGGGCACAAGATCGGTGATATGTCAGGACTCGAACCCGGGACCTCTTGATTCCGAGTCAGGCACTCTGCCGCTACGCCACATCGACATCACGCCCACAATGTGTTTGAACAGAGAAGGTTGACAGCACGTGTATTCGTGGAGGGATTGTCAGGCAGAATGACAAGGTCAAACAATGGGGCACAGGGAACGGAGTGAAGCTCTCAAAATCAGAGGGAGCCAGCTGAGACAACTAACCGATATGGCCATGGGGTAATTTAAGATTCCAGAGGATTACATACTTCCCAGTACCCCGGTATTTTTTTTCTAATTGCATATTTAAATTGATAAATGGTGATCCTATTTAAACATTGGAATCCGCACACAAAAATTGCCCACATGCATAAAATGAAACTGTGCAACAAAACTTTTCAAACACAATTTTTTTATTATTCTAAGGCCTGATATACACGCATTGTGATTACCTGCAGACGCTTGTAAACGTGCATCTTATTGGGGTCGATGCGAACCAGTATGGCGCCGTCCTGGACACAATGCCGTTCTGCGTCCTGGAAACTGGCCGGGGTCTCTACAAAATCGTAACAGTTTTTACCTCGGCCTGTGTATCCCGTTGGGCACCGTTCTGTGGAACAAATGAAGAAAGGCTGATAGACACTTTTTTGGTTGCCAAAAAGGACCAACATGTGTGTTGTTGTTGTTATTCTCATTATTTCAATTTACCACCACCATTCATTCAGTAAAATATGCATTTTTATTTGTCCTTGACATGCAGTTTCATGTGTCAAGACGTATAAGGTGAACGTAAGGATTTGTTTTTTTCTTGCAATATTATCCTTCGTACTGATAAGAATAAATGATATCACGAAATGAATTTTCAAATAAAATCTTAATCTGCTGGACTTTCTGACCAGTACGTGATCTCAGTGCTGGGGTTTCCAGACCCCTTTTTTAATAGGGGGTACTACCTTTTTTTATCTTCCTTTCCTCCACAATACCCCCAATGTGTTATACATGTCATCAATAAAACCTAATGAACTTTTTAGAACTGCCATGCAGGTTTGCCTTAATGGCAGTAGTAATGATTTAAGCGACGGTCACAACCCGCCGTACGTGCTTTTTGTCCGTACGTTTTTTTTGGAGGCTACGTCTGCTACGTTTTTTCTGAAAACGTGGGGAAGGAGTGGCGTCTACGCACGTCCCTCGCACGTCACTCGCACGGTTGCACAAAGTGTAAGAGTGTGGTCTGCACGACAAGTCTGGCTGTGAGCGGTTGCGTGCATCGTACGTTTCGCAAGTGGTTAGTGAGTTGTACGTGCTTACAACGTACGATCTCAGTGCGATTGCAACTTTACCGTAAGGAGACCGTACTCGCACGTGCTTCTTTCGCATGTCACGTACGGGGCACGCGAGTCGCTCGTACTCGCACGCACGGGTGGTGAATCCGTAGACCGCACGTAGAAAAAGTTTTACATGCACTTAAAGTTCTACGGCGTGTGTGCGTGCTCCCAAATCTGTAGGATTCCGTACGGAGATGGTACTCACCACGCACGGATGCCCTACGTTTGCCCACGTTTTTGCACGTAGACAGCACACAGAAGCACGTACGGCGGGTTGTGACCGTCGCTTTACAAGGGTAATAATGCAATAAAATATCCTTTTTTGTGACCTCATTGTATTATATATGTAGTATCCAAAACCATGTATGAAATTCAAATATACTAACGCTACAAAATTTCTGACAAGTCCTGGTAACATCAGGATTACATACATGAGAGAAGATTGTACCCAGGTATGACTACAGGTGAGTTTATGACTACAGGCTGCCCTGGGTGCTGAACTGACTATTTAGACGGCAAATATGATTCGTTAGGAAACATAACTTTACGATGCCCACATCTGTGGCCCTACCATGTGTGCTAACAAAGATACAATTGTCCGAAATGGATGACCTGATTTAACAACTAGATTTCTGCATGAAATGTTGGACAGGTTTACTGAACGGCGTTTTGTGAAAGACTGTATATATACATACGTTGTTGCCAGCATGTCCACAGTCCGTTCCTCCCGATGACATGACTGTAGCCAGGAGCGCAGTCAATAACATAGCAGACCACCTGCGTTCCGTCACACCGGCAAACTAACCCTGGAGAGTTCCGTACGGCCCACTCATCCCCATCCTACGGAATGTAAAGATCGCGTTTGGTACATAAAACATTCATCATACTGTAGGTGTGTATCAAAATGACTTGAATGACTGGTTTAGTGGTAACGCTGTACATGCTTCGTTTAGCTGTTTAAGTTAAGTCTGAAAGTTTGTAAGCACGCAGGACTGCCGCACAGCAGAAAAGGCGAGCCAGAAAGGAGGGAACTGTCACAGCGATCTCGCCCGAGAGATTTCGTCCTCCAGTGGGGGTGAGGTCGCTAGCGATTTCGCCCCGCCTCCGTACATCTCGCCCCCCCTCCTGCCCTTTATAAGTTAGTTTGTCTACTCTTACACCGTTCCGCAGGTATGGCAGGTATGCAAAATTGATTAACAATTCTAACGATATTATTACAGGTTCGGTTGAAGCAAGAAAGTAACCTCCTAGGTTGAAATATTATCTCTTTCTAAACATCTTAGGCATCTCAACAATGCAGGATTTGAGCTTGTACAAGTTTTGTCATTTATTTTTCATCTTATTATGTTGACTGATCCCAGGAAGATTTCAAGCACTAATGGGGATCAAAATAAAACAAACAATCAAACAAACAAACAAGAAGGTTTGGCAACAATACTATATTCCACAAATGTGCAGAGATGACTCATTTACCTCACAAAGAGGTTATAATGAATAAAGTTTAAACATGTTAAAGACATGTGGCTTACGTTATAATGCTGGCCTTCATAGTTACAACCATTGCTGCTGCATAAGCTCTCTGGTATGCAGTTGCCGTTGTCCAGCACGTACCAGGGATAACATTCGCATCGGGGGACACACACCGCGGCGCAGGCGAACGGACGGCCCTCACATGTTTTCGGACACGCCGTCCCACAGCTGTTCCAACTACTGTCTGGAGGACATGCTAGGGATACGATATATCAATTGAAGAGATTCATTTGCCACGTATAGATACAGTTACTAGTAGATTCTTTCAGCAGTGACAAGTTTTTGAAGGTTAAGGATACTAACCTTCAAATTTTCGATGACTATCAGTCCATCTTGTTCACGGAGTGGCCTAGTCTCGCGAGAACGGACCGGTCGGAAGGATGGGAGCTCCCAAAACATACTTTACCCTTGCTCCGAAAGGAGGCAATGGGAAGTAGGTCCCAGCAGACTGATGCAAGTCTCGGGCCTAGTATCGCATTCTCGCGAGACTAGGCCACTCCGTGAACAAGATGGACTGATAGTCATCGAAAATTTGGAGGTTAGTATCCTTACCCTTCAAAAACTTGTCACCGCAAAAAGAATCCTCTAGTAACCAAGATTTATCAAGAATATATTAGGATAGAATGCACTTTATTTCCTCAATACGTCACTAAAAGAGATTATTTGAAACGGTCAACAAAATATGCCCTAGCTTTCTTTACGTTTGTAATTTTCAATAGCCTACTGGCATAAATTTGCAATAAACTTCCCATTCACCTTTCCTTCCTACAAAATCATATTTCCATAGATAATGACAAATTTATTTGTATTTTGATACATGAAGAAAACAAATATTTGTATAATTACATAACGATATTAACATTGTAGATTTACATTGTATTAAATTTATTTTTTAGAAATACTTAACATTTAGAACCGCATGTAACACTATGTTGCAATAATTACTTTTGTAGATGTATATCTTAATTGCTTTGCGCTCGAAACTGCATTGGTATGATAAAATCTAGCTTCAGTGCACTGCAGACCATGTAACACCAGGCTCCAATGCACAGTAAATTTGGTTTTTATAGCCCTGATGAAAAAAACGTTACTATTTAAACCAACTATTTGTTGAATGTGTATTTACGCACCACACGTTCCAGTAGCCTGGTTGCCCAAAGGTTCATTTGGGTCTACGACACAAGTCAGTCCGCTGGAGCATGTACCACTAATGTTCCATTGACCACCGCAGCTTTCACCTGGAATCTAATCAACAACTTCTCTTGTATTGTTTATGTGTGTCTAGGCTTGTGAGGATTTAATAAAGAGTGTCGGTGTTAGCTGTAGTGCGCGGTCACATTTCCAAGCCAGGGCCCGGCCGGGTTGTTTACGTAAACGAAAAATAAACAATTTGTATTAAGAGTATACAAGTAGTGCTCATGGTTAAGTTTCTGAAACATTTTTGTGTGTGTGTGTGTTTTGCTGTCTCATATCATAATTTTCGTTCCAAACGACTGGGTTGGGAAATGTGACCGCTCCTTTACTTGGAAATCATCATTGAGTTGCTGAGTTTGTATAGAAGTGTTAAAAGACAAACATAAAGACCCTGCCACACACTAAAGAATTTAGAATCCCCAACACCAGGGCAGGGACCAGCATAAGGACATCCCATTGGAAATCTATGCTAAATATTTTAATATTCACCAGTATTTTGCTGTAAGTCGGCAGCCAACTATTCGGGTCTACGTCAGAAGCGTTCTCGGGGGTCAAATGTGACTCAAATTTATTTCAAATTTATTTCGATTCATATCGAAAGGTGGTCGTGGCCCAAATATAGTCAGACTACCTCCTGGCGCCAGGTGAATCTGGACGGCTGTTGCATAGAAACGGATGGGGGGGGGGGTTCTAGTGTTGAAAGTGTAGATAGTAGCACGTGGTAAAATTGATGGAACTACAGTTTTCATAGCTCAATAAATAGCATTTGACAAAGTTCAAACTTCTCAAACTCACTTTAGCGCACACGTCACAGCAGCCACACGCATCCTTGGTGACGTCACCCTGACAGCTCGGCAGGGGAGGGCAGGTGAACGTACCACATTGTAAACACGACAGAGCTGCAAGCCTGGGGCCATATGTAACATACGTAATGTCTAGAAGTTACTGAAGTGTCTGTGTGTGTGTGTGTGTGTGTGTGTGTGTGTGTGTGTGTGTGTGTGTATGTATGTATGTATGTGTGTGTTTGTGTGTTTATGTGTGTGTACATATTGTGTGTGTACGTGTGTGTGTGGGTGTATGTGTGGTGTGTGTGTGTGTGTGTGTGTGTGTGTGTGTATGTGTGTGTGTGAGTGTGCACCCGAATGTGTATGTGTTGGCGTGTGGATATGTTTGTGCTTCCACATGACTGGCGACATCGTTATTCTAGATCATTATCTACTGTGTCGATAACCGTGTAGCTCGAGGGGCTATAATTATATGTACTCGAGGTTTTCACGTAATTTCAACCCCAATTTGGGGCACTGAAAGGGTGTTCCGTCTAAACCTACCCATATTGAACCTGTGAAATGCATTAAGTTTATGACATGATCCTGTAAAATGTAGTAAATTGTGTTTGAATGATGGAATTTTAATGGTTACGAGAAAATGATAACGATTCTAATTTATTTTTCACGATCGCCCTTATCTAATGTTCTCATGTAACACATGTATTTTTTAAGTACTTTTTATGTTACTTGTATACTTTTTGTTTCGCAGTAGTCCTATCTTACAATCTTTTTCTTTGTTATACTGCTGATTTTACTGTGTTTTCCTTGGCCCCATTGAACATCATTTCAACAAAATTGAATTGCCCACCAACCTGTAAAATTGAATAAATGAATAAATAAAGGTTTGAATTTCGTTGACTCACCCTTTTACCATCCCCAATAGGACAACAAGTATGACTTGTGTCTTCCCCATGGTTCAAGTGCAACACTTTCCAAAGGTGGGAGGAACCTAAAATAAAGGCAGACATTCTAAATCAATAAAAAGGTTAATTATCATGTCAGTCTCAGTGAGCCACTAAACCTCAGAAGAATGCTAGTGTTTTCGTAGAATAGTTACCAATTGACTGAAAAAATGTTTTGCCAAGTAAGGAAACTAATCTCTATGTTGTAAATATAGACAGCGTCTCATTAGTCTCAGAGAAAAGAACAACAAAGGTTAAAAAGCAGTTGAATTTGGCCAAGGGGGGGGGGGGGGTAATTGGCCATGTGGAGTTTTTGGTCACTGTAGAGTTTATTCACCCACGCCTTCGACGGGAAAAATCAACTTTTATGGCCAATGATTCTTTCCTGTTTGGTCGATTTCTACAATTTCTACAAGTAAACTCGGGAAAAGCAAGACCAAATGAAGGTATCATTCAGCCTGTGTGCGCCAATTATTGATACTGTGTGTAGCGACTGTGTGTAGCGACTGTGAAATATTACCTGCAGTATTGATGCCTATTGCTTTCACTGTACAACATTTCATAATCAAATCCAAAATTTCAGATATGGCGCCCTGTAATAATATTGTAAACATTGTAGTAATCTATTGTAACAACAACAAAACTATACATGTAGCTTGGTGTCATTAATGGCATGTTCCACTGCTTAGCATTAATATTTTCATCCCATACCATGCTTCTACTTACTACTGTGCTAAAGCTTACCGGATTCCGGAGAAGACAAACGGTGTTCTTTGCTTTAAAGTCCCGGTCTCTTGCACGTAGCTTGCTTTCAGCTGTCTTGTGGTATAGTCAGTGGCCTGTCAGAATGACGTGGCAACTTTGACTGGCGTCACAAACCGGTCTCACCACATGGGCACTAATCTTTGTAATCTGTTTCTCGTCAGAAATCACTAAAGCTTACAGTCAGGCAGGTTGAAGGTCATTAGGACTTTTAAAATGATATTGTTTGGCTTAATCTGTAGCTAATACACTAGCATAGACGTCTGATTACACTAAACATTGCCCATGGAAAGAATATTGCACTTGTGGTTTTCTGTCCGATCCTAGCAAACGCCGGTGACCCTTAGCTATAGCCTCTACCATTATTCGCGGCCGGAAAGAGTAGACATTGGCTAATTAAGCCATGGTGGTAAAATCAGGGCTGCAAAGTTCCCTCATTTCATAGAATCAGAACTGTGTTCGATCTGGGCAATTCGAATCGAACCCGCGTTCCATTTCGGGGTCACCTGCGGTCATTTGCAATAAAGCGGCAAAACAAGCCCTTCTGCCTGAGTGCCTCGCAACAGATAAAAAAACAACACTTTTCTATAGATACAAACATTTTCCGGGACAGTACATATCCGCTATCATTTTTTGTGGACATGTAACATGTAGCGAAGCTACTGTCGTATCCTTGGGTGACCTTGAATACTGTAATGATCCTTTACACCTGTATGAATAACACAATGCACACTTTCTGGCGATATGACATGTCTGCAAAACTCGAGATCGTTCAAACCTGGAAACATGGAGAAACTGAAAGAAAATAACTAGAAACAAGAAAAGAAAATCCCTTCTTTCCAATCCTATATTCAAAACTGACACTTTAAACGTTGTAAGTAACATTGTTTTTCCTGTTAAACTGTATTTGTGGAATTACTTCTTTAGTTAACATCTCAGAATTTGAAAAAAAAAACAAGAACAGATCCTAGTTCATAACTGAACCTTCAAACACAATAAGCACTTATGGTCACGACAGCAATTGAGAAGTTGGTCTCTATAGTTCCAGCAATTCCTCGGGGCTCACAAATCTTGGCTACGTTTTTATTGCCACACCCTGTTATTTCAATGGAGTTACAAACATCTTGTTACGATTACTGACTTAAAATTAGTTTTTAGTAAATGACAAAGACAGCCGTTTCCTTTTTCTATTTAATACAACTTTATAAAGTTTAGAGAATTACAATGTTTTACTTGACATAGAGGCAAACGAAAAAAAATCCTGAAAAGTGACATCTTGTGCCTTGGAAAATGTGGACGTAAGATTATAACATCCATCTCTATCACTTACTTTACTTTACCAATATTTCTGTGCAGATTCATTTGCTCCCATTGTTACTCTTAAATTCTCAAACTTCCGTTTTTACTTTAAGTACTATTCATTTTACTTGTAATGTTGTCATACATAACATTCATTTTACTTGTAAGTACATAATACATAACATAAAATACATAACATTTCACGTGTGATGTTGCAATTCAGAGTCATTTCATTTGTACAGTAAGAGCCATTTTCTACATTGTTACAAAACATATTTTACAAAATCATCCATTGCACAATATTTCAAACAAGTCAAACAAATTATTCATACTGTCATACAATATTTCATACAATCAACTGAAGTTATATATTATGAATCATTGAACCTAGTTGTATATGGATAATTCTGCCGACAGATGCTTTCTTCTGAAAATGTCCTTTTGACCAATTAAACAATCAACACTATTCAAGTACATATACAAGGCAAAACAAAGAAATTGTTATGAGTTTACTCTATATGGTTTCTATTAATGCTGAATAACATTAATAACATTATATTGTTGAACCTCTGCAGCTTAAATGTTTGATGATAATGGGTTGTTCAAATTCCCATTGATAATTTCTTTTAATTCAAATGTAAGATACTCATAAAATTACCAATAAGAACATCTAGAAAAAACTGGATCACATGACCTAATGATTGACTTAGATCTTGCACTTGACCTGCGACCTTATGAAATTTTACTGTATATTTTTTCATTCTTGTACAGTCATTTTACATGTAATGTTACTACATTATGTAGTAATTCTACTTCACCATTGTTACCATGATGATTCATGTTACTTTCTTTACTACTATCATTGTTACTATGCGTGCTATTTGTCTCACCTGCAATGATGCCATACATAATCATTTCACTTGTAATGTTGTCATTCAGAGTCATTTCAGGTGATAGTTAAAGCCATTTACTACATTGTTACAAGTGTCCATTACACGATATATCAAAGAAGTGAACCACCTTGTTCCTCTTTCATACATTTATATAAAAAAACTAGAGGTCGGAGATCTCATGTCTTCGTCAGAGGTACATCGTTCTAGAGAAATTAACATGCGTATTCTTCACTTTTTTTAATAATCAATTTGGTCTAAAGAACAAAAGAATCTCTGTACTATTTTTATGGTACAGAACACCCTGAAACGGTTTGCCGCAGATTATACAGATGCGTCGTCACCCGTGTTAGCCCCCCCCCCCTACGTTATTTGAGTTTGGACTGTTACTGGAAAAAAACGTTCAAGAAATTCTTACTGTGTTGAAAGTGTCACGACAGCGCCGCAAAATATAATAAGAGAATATGTTATAAAGGAAAGAATCAGAACAGGTGACTACTGGCTGCTGTTTTGTTAATTTGTCTTTATGACAAATAGAAGACTTGTGTTCTTTGTGTCCTAACATTTCAGTTAGTATATTCCAAATCTAGGCATCTCATTTTTCGGCCATTCGTGTTCTTACTGCGCGCTTGCCTTAAATTTAAGGTAATTAGATTTAAGGTCTCCAGTGGACGTCATCCATAGCAATTACTTGGTATGGCCGTAGAAAATAACCTGACATATGTCCAACCTATCCCCCCCCTGCTGAAGTTATAGTACGATCCCTCAATGTAACATCATTTGATCCCATCCCATTATGGGGTTCCCCGGCTATATCCAGCTGTCGGCTGTCTCCAAGCAGATGTAGGTGGGGGTTTCTAAACACAAAAGGTCCTATTACGGGAACATAACGACGTCCACGACTCTCATCTTTGAACTCAATCTTGGAGACCATCACAGTAATATGCCTATCAAATTTCATTAACTTCCATCCACACATACAAAAGTTATCCTGCTCACAAGAAAAATTAACAAAATGCCCCCTGTAGTCACAACGAAACCCCCCACGAAGCTCAGTAACGAACTTAACCTTGGTCCTGACAATAGTAAGCACCACACCAAGAATTATAATTAACATTTCACAAATATTTGAGTTATTTTGCTAACAAGCCACAAGCACAAAAGGTGCACTAACGTAACGCACGGACCCCCCACGAAGCCGAAACTTGTACTTGACTTTGGCCTCAACAGCGGTAATCTGCCTGCCAAAAATCATGGACGTCGAATCATGCCTTCCAGAGTTATAACGCAAAATCCGCAGTTCCCTACACTCCGGCGAGACAATTTCATAGTCCTTCTGACGAAGACAATCATTGAATCTTAATTTTATAAGAATAAGTCCAACAACAGCTGCGTCCTTCTTGACATTCCATCATCACCAAATCAAAAATCAACACTATTCATAGGCACAGAAAACTTAGGTTTAATCGATGTAATACACATGCAGAATGATATTATTTCAGTTGAGCCTTTGATACTTTAATGTCTAATGACAGCTAGAGAGATATTCCCATTGATGATTTCTTTTTTACCTTAAATTTAAGATAAGCATAAGATAACTCATAAGAACGTCTAGAAAAACATGGCTCACACGGCCTGATGAATCACTTACATGTATATGATCATATGTATGCCAAAAAACAGGAGCTTTCAGACTAATTTGCATCATCTTGTCTTGACTTGTCTGACTTTTGTTCCTTTTTCGACTTCCAAATTTTGTCTTCACTTTATTTGCATATCAATCAACAGGTTGTGTATATAAACCTGCTTTCCCCTCTGGCTCTCAGTCACTGACGAAAGCTAGTGGATACTAGCTGAAACGTCTGACGTTTTCAAAATCTTATCCAGTTGCTTGAGTAACTGTTTTTTGGCATATCGTATTACCTGGATGTCTAACCTTCATCGACGTATGATCATATGTATTTCACCTGTAACTGCTTGTAGTTTTGTGATGTATGACACAGGAGATGTGAGGTCGGTCTGTCGCTTATGTGCGTCCTGTAAATGAATGGGCAAATGTTTCAGTAATAAAATGA